CACAGTGCCAGCGTGCAGCTGCAGAAGGGGGAACAGAGCTGGCCCAGATGCTAGAGTCAATGGATAGAAGTTAATTCTGCCATGAGCTTCTCTCTTTTCCAAACGCCTCCTGCTGGCTAACAGGGCAAATACTTATAGGCAACAGCAAACGAGACTGCACAGTTATCACACTCCTTCCAGTTAATGCATCCAAAATGAAGAGAGGGAGATAAAATCCATTATGTAGCTTAGATATTCCCTAAGTAATTTAGAAATAAGGCTGAATCAACACTTGCTGATATCTGCTAAGCAACAACTTGCAGCTCTCTCTGCAAATGCAAGGTGGGAGACATTCACCACCTCAAGACTCAACAGAAAAGAGCCAAACTCACTCTAAGAGGCTCAAGTGTGCTAAAAGCAACTACATATATGGCTGATTACCAATAGTCAGTCAACAGGAACTAACTTATCCAACTGTCAAGATCCAAAGCAGAAAGCATCTACTTTTTCAGTTCAATTTCTATGTGGGATATGATGACTGGAAAGAGTTTTACACAAGTGATATAGAGACCATGCTTCTACCAAAATCAGAGACACCGAGAAAAAAGGCAAAGTCTAACCAAGTTTGTTTTAACTTAGCCACTTCAAACTGACATGCAGTTAAGTCTTTAGTTACAAGAGGTAGAAGCCATTAAAGAAGCCATCTTTTCAACTGGCAATAAGAATATTTTTAAAGTGGATAATTAGCTGCTGATCTCATGTATATTCTGTCTCTTGCAGCAGTTAAATCCAAATCACTCTACCCAAAAGATGTCCTACAAGATCATGGGCATGATAAAAGAGTTACTTTAACAGGTTTCCTTGGCCAGAGTCATGTCAGATGCTGAACAAGAAAGGGGTATCTGAACTCTGCATTTTCCTTCTTATCGTCTCCCAGTACAAGCGCAATGTCAAAGGATTCTACGAGATTCTGCAGATGTCTTATGAAAACAGTGCATTTAATGCTCACCTTGCCCAAAATTGAGTGGTATGAATTTAAACAAATTGTTGGCATGTTAATGCTTTTAAAAATCCACATCACTTATTTAAGGGGATCTGAGGGTGCCTAAAGCAGCTTCATCTCAGAGATATTCTATGTTCTTATTCTGGCAGTTTGTTCAGTTAATTCAAACACACATTTTTGACAGTCACAGTTTAAATCAAATTTTATGCTTTTTATATCATGACTTCTATTGTATCATGACAGAAGTCTAGGATTCAAAAATACTCCATGCAACTACAAGCCATGTAATTACTTAACCAGCTCTACATGGTCATACAAACTAAAAGCTCATAGTGCTTTCTAAATCCAACCCGCTAGTTGCTATATGCTTAGCCATATGAAGTTCACCACTCAAAAATATGCCACAGCAGAATCAGAAAGAGATGACACAGGCACACACATGCAGCACATAATCTCACCTGTGTCTAGCTTAAAGCTCTCTATCAGACTATATTCTTTTTCCTGAGCAGCAAGATCTTCCCACTGGTCTCCAAAGCCAATAATCTCCAACATGTGCCAACGCATCCAGTAGGTCTGACCTGTTGACTGCCATAAAACCTGTGGGTGAAACAGATCTAGATGATCAGATTTGCTCACTCATTCAATCCTCATGCTACATTTGTCCTCCCATTTCCCAAATGCATGAAGATAGCAAGCACTGTTCAAGTAGAAGACCACCTAATTCAGATACAGATTTCAACGCACACATTGTCTGATTTTTAAGCATACCATCTTTATTAACTTGTTCCCCTCGTTACACTGGGATCTTTATTAAAAAAAACCACCAACTTTGCTTGCAACCACTACAAATCTCATCTAGCACAACAGCAGTGACAGCAGTGCATCTAGTTAATAATCATGCCTGTTCCAAAAGTACCCAGCAGCAGGTGCCTTGCAAAAAGCATACAAAGGAACACCTTAACCAACACTACCTTGAGGCAGATGAGCTGTATATAAAGGGTCTTGAGGCACAAAACACTTGGTGAGTGCAAATGTAAAGAAAACTATTTTTCCTACTCTGACTTTACCTTCTATTGGTTATACTTTCACGCCTTGGTCTTTCACCAGCCCTCTCAAGACAGGTTTTGGGCTCTTGACAAGCATGTCTCAAAGAAGCCAATTGTTTCCTGTGCTTTGTCTAAGTTGCCTCTCAAAATCAAAAGGGTTTTTTTTATGGTTTCCCATACCATAGTTTTACATTTAACCTTCTGAGCAGAAGGAGGACCCAGCAACAGCAAGTACAACATGTCAATAACTTAAAATAACCAGCAGAAAAACATATGGGTTGCCTAATTCACTGAGCTCTTTTGGAGTTACACCAATGCTACTAGGACTCCATTGTACTGGAGAGCTAAAGAGATAAGATGCTGAAAGACTTTGAGAAAGCACTATACGGAAGGAAATTGAGTTAAACTCTACACACAACACCAATTAGTCTTCAACGAATCCCTGACCTAAACTGGTTATGTACCAAATATCATCTCAAAGGAGTCATATGACTGAAGGACCAGACACAACAGTGAAACTCTTCTTTGGAGAGGCAAAGAAAGCAACAGAAAACAGAGCAACAAAGAGAAGATGAGAGGAGGTAAGAGACAGACTCATGATGGACTGGCCCCAATCAAAAATGCACATGAATTTGCATTTTGCACACAGAATACTGACAGCAAGCCTCAGGCAGGATGAGCTGCCAAAGCAGAACTAATCGAAAAGGAAAGGATCAAAATTTTAACAAAGACCAAGGAGAAGCAGTTTTTGTAACTTGAACTCACTAGTTACCAGTAGATAAACTGCCAATATACAGCAAGTGTGATACATAAGATAAGAAAGAGGAACAGAGATAAAAATCAAGTTTCCCTTCAAAGAGAGACTGATGGCGAAGGCCCAGAAAAGCAACAATGATCAAGAGATGTCGTCACAAAGATGATTTTGAGATGTCAGATTCCTGGTATCTCCCTGTGGAAAAAAAACTCATTGAATGGTTTGACTCACAAGTTTCTCACGTAACTCTGAGGGACTGCTACTGACGCATACACAGATATGAACATAAAGAGCAGAGTAAAAATTAACACCACCAAAGACTGCATGTACATTCCCAACTTCCTAGACAGACTGGAGGGCAAGGAACACTAATAGCAGCAGAAATTAGGTACTTCCAAATATAACAGCCAACAAACTTCTTCACTGAATATTTATTACCATTTAGATCTGGTTTTGCCAGTAGACATCAGCCTTACAGAAGACTGTTATTGAAAATAAGCCTGGATGGAGCAACTGCAAGTTCATTCAACCTAATTAAACAGAAAAATAGACAGGAGAAGGAACCCAAGGGACCAACTGGACAAAGGGAATGGAAGTTAACAGTACACTTCAGCTCAACAGTGAAGAAAAAAACCCTCTGAAATTTATACCACAGGCAACAGGAGAAAAATGTGAAAGGATCTTGGTGCTCTTTCCAAGTGCCCAGTTACATTAAGAGTAAAAGCAAGTACAAGCTCATAAGAAATAGAAAACAGAATTTTAGAAAAACACAGATCTTAGAAATCAAGGAGCGCAAGGACAAAGATAGGATCAGTAGGAAACATTTCCTTTGCAATTTATCTTTACAGACTGGGTTATAAAAGACAAAAGGTTTATCAACCACTTAAAAATAAGATGCAAAGCAGTTATTCATTTGAGGAGGGCTGCAATGAAAAATCACCTCTGCATGGTCCAAAACTAGAAGAGTATTTTACTTGAATATTGAGTAAACACAAAAGAAAGCAAAGCAAACTGATAATGGGTAGAAGGATACAAATCTGGTAGTTGCCACAACAGAGAGAAGCAAAGTTCAGTTTGGAGGAGAGAGATGAAAGACATGCCAAGTAATCTGCCAGAAGCACAGCTGGAAACTGGGAATGATTTAGGTTATGCAGTGGTGTTTCCATGTGACTGACGAACACTAAAGCAGTGCTTCTAATCTGAGAAAAAAATTGATTAAGTAAATCATCACTACAGCTTCACTACTTTGACTTCTACTAATGCAAACCTTTAAAGCATATTTTAGTGGAAAGAATAACTAAAGGTATTCAAGATAAACAATAAATCTGAATTAACAGGTAAACCTGCTTCAAGTTTCAACTCTGACAGATTGATGCATTAGCTTTCTTTGCGGAAGTAACTGATTTTCCAGATTAAAAAAAAAAAGATCTATTTCAATCATCAACTTCAGTAAAGCACAGGGCATCAAACGGTAAATTATTAAACCAGAGAAGAAAGTGATTAAGTAGAGGAACTGTGGGCAAGAAATACGCTCAACAGAACCCAAGAACTTAAGAGTATGAAGGGGAAAGAATGGGACTAGAAGAAAGTGCAAGTACGATGGGCAAGCCATATTTGCACAGCACATGTTGCCCTAACAGTTATGCTCTCCCAATACCAGCACATACTGGTAATACCCACCACCGAACAAGCAGATAAGGCTGGAAGCATCCTTCTTGCACATGCACATTTCGGAGCATTTTAAGCTGCTGGTCTAAATTATAGCTGCAAGATGTGCTACAAAACTAGAAGGCAGTTAAGGAGCCTGGACCAAAGTAAGTTAAAAGTTACTGAAAGGCGACTGGAAAAATTAATCCTAAAACCAGTTCTCACTGAATAAACAGAAGAGTATCAGAAGGAAAAAGCAGTCTGCAACTGGCTGAGGAAAAAAAAAACCAACACCAAAAGAAGATTCACACAATTTCCCTGTGCACAAGAAAGCAAAGAGAGACAAGAGAAGAAAAGAAAGAAGTCAGTGTTCAGTGTTCTTAATTGGTTAATTTTTATTAGGCTGTAAGTGAAAACAATGGCATTACACAAAATAAAATGGGCTGTAGTCCAAAAAGGCTAGAGAATCTCCTGCTTAACAAAAGCTGAAAGTAGATTTAAAGGAGATGGTCTTCAAACATACAGAAGGTAATGTCAAATTCTCTACCTCCTCTCTGGAAAGGTTGGTAATGAACTTTAAGTTACAGCAAGACAGATTTGGAAAGACCATTAGGAAGTCATGCATTTCTACAGATACCAGAGTGAGACCTTTCAGCTATTGATTTTTTAATATCAGCAACACAGAGTTTTGCACTAGCATGGCACTTAAGTCTGTTCGCAGGCCATCTATATCCACAGAAATCAGCTTGAAGTAGGGAAGCCTTTGAGCAGAGGCTGAAGTGGCACCTGAAGTACAGCTATGACCAACTGAAGTGGCCTCAGAGTCTTATTTATCATCTGCAAAACCAAAGTATGCACTTTGCAAATTACTTGAGCGAGAGAAAACAAAAAAAAAACCAAACCCACAACTGCACACACTAACATGTGTGCAGTGGTTACAGTTTCTCATTTTACTGGTTACTATCTCAATTTAATAAAGATTTCATGAACTGAATTATAGCCCTGTTTGCAGCCAACACAATGCTGGACTGAGCAGAGGACAGGAGCGGAGACAGCCCTCTATCTATGGATGACGGCCAGCTAAAGCTTGATTTTTAAGAGAACAGAAATTGTGACTCTAGATGCAGTGTTTGGGAAGCTCAGAGGCATGGCCAAAGTGCAAGATCAGCAGACAGCCTGCAGAAATAACCATACATAAATTAGAGTGATGCACAAAGCCCACCAGCTCCCCACTGCACAGTCAAAACAAAACCTCAGCTCCCACTGAACATGCCCAGCCTTCAGGACTGAGAAGAAAGTCTCAAGAAAAAGGTCTATGTAGGAGCAAACACTTCCCTGTGTCCACAAAAAGGCTGGAACAGCACTCAAATGCTCTCCCACCCCCAGGCCCGAGTCCAAGCCCTGCTGCTCCAGCACTGACCCATACACTAGCAGGACGTTCTGGGAGTGGCAAGAGCTGAATGCCTTAGGCCAAGAATTAGAGATCAAGCCAATAAAGGGAACCTTGTGGTCGGTGTTTACTACAGGCTGCCCGATCACGGGGAGCCTATTGACAAAGCCTTCTTACTCCAGCTACAGGAGGGATTGCGCCCACAGGCTCTCGTTCTGCTGGGGGACTTCAACCACCCTAACATCTGCTGGAAAAGTAGCACAGCGAGCTGCAGGCAATCCAGGAGACTCCTGGAGTGCATTGAGGATAACTTCTTAGGCCAGGTAATAGACAGCCCTACCAGAGGAGATGTGTTACTGGACCTGTTGGTCACCAATGCAAGCAAGCTAATCACAGACATTAAGACTGGAGGCAGCCTGGACTGCAGTGATCATGCACTGGTGGAGTTCACAGTCCTGAGGGATATGGGACAGGCAAAGAGTAAAGTCAGGACCCTGAATTTTAGGAAAGCAAACTTCCAGCTGTTCAAGGAGTTAGTCAATGGGACCCCCTGGGAAATTGCACTCAGGGACAAGGGAGCAGAACAGAGAACAGAAACAGACCTTTAAGGACACTTTCCATAGAGCACAAGAGCTCTCGATCCCCATGTGTAAGAAATCAGGAAAGGAAGGCAAGAGACCGGCATGGCTGAGTCATGACCTGCTAGTCAAACTAAAGAGCAAAGAAGGAAATGGAATGCACAGGCAGTGGAAGCAGGGACAGGCATCCTGGGAAGAGTATAGGGACGTTGCCCGGTGGTGTAGGGATGGAGTCAGGAAGACTAAGGCACAGCTGGAGCTGAACTTGGCAAGAGACACAAAGATTAGTAGGAAGGGCTTCTGTAGGTAAGTCAGCCAGAAAAGGAAGGACAAAGAAAGTGTACCTCCCTAATGAGCAAGACTGGCAAACTGGTAACAACAGACGAGGAGAACGCTGAGATACTCAGCAACTTTTTTGCCTCAGTCTTCAGTGGCAATCTCTCTTTCCACACCTCTCAAGTGGATGGACATCAAGGCAGGGACTGGGAGAGCAAAGTCCCTCCCACTGTAAGAGAAGAACTGGTTCGAGACCACCTGAGGAACCTGAACATACGTAAGTCTATGGGACCTGACCAGATGCATCACAGAGTCCTGAGGGAACTGGCTGATGTAGTTGCCAAGCCACTCTCGATGATATTTGAAAAGTCATGGC